CCGAAACTAGACCGACCCTATGGGGAGGGTTCAGAAAGATGCACTTTATTCTGATTGGTTTATGTTCCTTATATCCCTGTGTTCCATCAGGTCCAGAGGGGAGTGCCCCATGCCTTAAAATGTGTATAAAAGAAATGCAAGTTATTCAATAAACCAGTCTTGTTACCCTCATCTCGCAGCCTTGACTCGTGTTGTAGGGAAATGCTAATCACTAGCTCTGCTCAGAGCTCCAAGAACATTCTACACTTCCAGGGATATCGGTAGTTGCTGAAGGGAAACTTTTTACCGCTCTCCGAGCTCGGGGACAAGGACATCTAGGCGGTCCAACCCTCAGCTAGCCTTGGGCAACCGTAACAATATTGCACTTACAATTGAGTAGTGAAAACAGGCATACTTCCACATATATCACGGGAACCGATCCCTGTCCAACTGGAAGTACAGGACGGTATACAGAAATAAAAATATATATGTATAGAGCATAAAAACAACTAAATAAATATGTATATATGTTCTTGACATCCAACGCATACCTCTCAAAGTAAAAATGATGAATCCAGTTCATGTGCATCTGGCGTGCTTTCCACCTTGAAACGCTGACGCACTTCCTGTTCATCCCTTCATCAAGTTCACACATATCTGTTTTGCGTTCCAACTTAGTATGCTAAGCCGTCCTGTGTTCCGTTCAACCAGATGGTACTTAGCTGTAGATGTGTTCTGCTATATTTAGACATGTGCGTGCAACTATCATGAGTAGCACGCACACGTCCCGACGAGGACTGTATGGAACAAAAAACATGGAAAAAAATTGCACTATCTTCCAAATCCGTATACATTGAAAAAACAACACACACACCAGGGCTCATAATTATAGCTAAAAATATAGATAATATATTATGGAAATATATGGAAATATTACTTCTATGCAGAATATAATAGAAAGAGTGTGTTGTATGTATAGAAAAAAATTGTAAAACTAATATATTAATTAAAAATTGGGCTGTTAATGGTGCTGGTGTAGGTTAAGCAGAGAGTTCCAAAAATATATACATATACACACAGCAATCCAATTCAAGACCAGAAATGAAAAAGGACGGAGTATGGAAAAATAATTTAATACACAAAATAAGCATCTTGATTCAAGCCATATTTTAATGTTTTTAAACTGTATATCCATTGTGCCTTTTTTCTGATCTCCAATTTGATCCAACTTTATCAATCCCAATGGCCACAAAATTACTAAAATTTCATTTGTCACATGAATTGCAATGTTTGGGGACTTTGTGATCTATTTTTTTTTTTTTATGTTATTGAAATGTTCTAAAATTCTGACATGCATTTTTCTTTTTGTCCATCCGATGTATTGTGCTCCACATAAATAACAAATAAATTACAAAAGGAACATTGTATAAATTTAGGGCTTTCATTTCATATCAAATATTTATATATGAAACATAATGTATTATGAATAAAACTGTGAGAAATTTAAATTTTTTTAAAACAAATTTGTAGTTCCGCCTCACATTTTAGCTGTAAATGTCATAATACTGTTAGCTTTTACTGCAAAAAAGCACATATTTGGATTTAGCAAAGTCTCACAAGTACAACAGTAGCCCCCATTAACAGCTTTTACGGTGTTTTGGAAAGTTAAAGGGTCAAATATAGCACATTCCATTTTTCTGTTTTTTCCCATTGAAGTTTGCCAGATTAGTAATGTTGCCTTTGAGAGCGTATGATAGCCCAGGAATGAGATTTACCCCCATGATGGCATACCATTTGCAAAAGTAGACAACCCAAGGTATTGCAAGTGGGGTATGTCCAGTCTTTTGTAGTAGCCACTTAGTCACAAACACTGGCCAAAGTTAGCATTCATATTTGTTTTTCTGTGAAAAAAGCAAAAAACAAGTATTTGGCCAGTGTTTGTAACTAAGTGGCTACTAAAAATGACTGGACATACCCCATTTGCAATACCTTGGGTTGTGTACTTTTGCAAATGGTATGCCATCATGGGGGGGTAATTCTCATTCCTGGGCTACCATACGGTCTCAAAAAGCAACATAACTAATCTGGCAAATTTCAATGTGAAAAAAATGAAATGCAAGCCTTATATTTGACTCTCTAACTTTTCAAAACACCATAAAACCTGTACATGGGGGGTACTGTTTTACTCAGGAGAGTTATAAAAAATACAACATGTGGAGAGATACTTAATATAATTGCCACCACGCTTGTGGGTGCTATTCCAAAAAGGTACTCCCTTAAATACCAATAAAGCACATATTCAAAAAAAAGAAAGGAATGCACACCAACTAACACAATAATATATATCTAAATATATTTATTATAATACAAATCCAAATCTTACATATAAAATGTAACAGTGACCAAAAAAGGCAAAAAAGTAAAAAAAAAAAGCTATAGCTACTTCATATAGCTACCCTTGATAAAGGCTACCAGGAGGAGCCGAAACGTTGGGGGATTGTTTGTGACTCGTGTTTCTGCCCTTATAGGCTTGTCGAATTTGGTAAATATACTGTTTAACTTTTTTGCCTTTTTTGGATTTGTATTATAATAAATATATTTAGATATATATTATTGTGTTAGTTGGTGTGCATTCCTTTCTTTTTTTTTTTTTTTTAGGAGAGTTCACTGAACACAAATATTAGTGTTTCAAAATGGTAACTTGTATTACAACAAAAATATTGTCAGTAAAAGTGCCGTTCATGTGTGAAAAATGCAAAAAATGTCACTTTTACTAAAAATATCATTATTGTAATACAAGTTACCATTTTGAAACAATAATATATTTGTGTTCAGCGAAGTCTCCTGAGTAAAACAGTACCCCCCATGTACAGGTTTTATGGTGTCTTGGAAAGTAATAGGTTTAAATATAGTGCTTGCAATTCAAATTCTTTGCATTTTTTGCCTGGGTTGTCAGGCATGTCAATCAAATTTTAACAAATGAAATCACATAATTATGTTAAAATATTACTTAGATATACATGTAGAATTTTAATATATATACATATAAATGTATTTAAAATCTACGTGTATACTTATGTAATCATTTATGTAATTATATGTATTTGTATGTATATATTTGCGGTTATTTGTATTTTATATATAGATATATAGATATAGAATGTCATTCTAAGTGTATTTTGTTACATATATATATATTAATAACAAAATACAGTTAGAATGAAATTACATATGTATATATAATTTATTTAAATTTTTTAAAATATTTTATTTATTTATTTTATCTTATATATATGTAACGTCATTCTAAGTGTATTTTAATACTAATATATATACTTATATTAACATTAAAATACACTATGTATGACGTTAGATGTATATATATTATATATATATATATATATATATATTTATATATACATATATACACTTTTAATTAATTTTAAACATGTCTAATTATTTTGTTTTTTTACTTTCCCACCAGCAGGGCGACTGTCTGACATTTCAGACAGTCCCCTTGCCGGCAGATCCACTGCCAGCTATAGGGGGCCACATGATCACTCTTTGAGAGCGATCACATCGCCCCCGGGGGCCTCATTTGCCAGGGGAGGGCTGCCTGGGCTGTCAGGCAGCCCTCCCGTAGAGGATCGCGGCAGAGGTGAGTACCGCCGAGCTCTTGGGGGTGAAAGCCATTACGGCGTTCTATGCCGCCGCAACGGCTTTAACGCCCATTTAATGCGGGACGGCATAGACCGCCGTAACGGCGTTAAGGGGTTAACCGTCTCTTGGTGGAAAAAAAAATAATTTTAGAATGTACAAAAAATGGTTAGATCTCACCAAAGAACATTCAAATTGCTGGACGTGCAATGTGTAGATAACTCCAGTCTTTCTCTGCAATGGAGAATGTGGCTGCTATAAGTATATATAAATATAAATAACTACAACATTCTCCATTGCAGAGAAAGATTGGACTTATCTACACATTGCACATCCAGCAATTTGAATGTTCTTTGGTGAGATCTAACCATTTTTTGTACATTCTAAAATATATTTTTTTTCCACTGAGAGACTGTTAGACATTTTTTATTTTATTTTTTATTTTTACTTATCCAAGATATTTTTTGACTTATATTTTTTTTCTGATTAATTTTTTACTGTTTTGTAAATAGATTTTTGGTCTGATCAGACTGCTAGGCATTAGAGTTGAGCGGACACCTGGATGTTCAGGTCCGGCGGAACTTTGAAAAAAAAGTCCGGGTTCGTGCTCAAACTTGACCCCGAACCCGAACCCCATTGAACATTTGGGCACTAAAATGCCTCTAAAAAAGTCTTGGAAATGGCCAAGTAAAGTGTGGATAAGAGTAGGACAAGTGACCTGCAAACAAATGTGGATGGGGAAATCATTTAAAATAACATAAAAATTTAAAATACAGCTGAGCCATAAAATAGCACTAGATGGAATCTTTGATTTTAGCTTTGGAAGAACATAAATAAAAATCTAAAGCATGGATGTCAGGAGGATCACCAGAATTATCCATTTGAGAGAGGGTTGGAGTGCAGGGTATTCTCTTTCATTGTTCAAACTGAGCTCAACTCCTGATGCATGGAGTAAAGGCCTTCACAAGCCTCTGCTATTGTGCACATAGTTTATACTAAGTGACCCATAGGTTGAGTAGGCTGTGACCATGGCGGTGGAGGTGGAAGCAGTGGTGGAGGAGGAGGTAGCCAACACTGTTTATATATATCTATTTTTTATTTTAATTGGGGTAGCCCCAAAATATTGGGACATACAAAAAAATAAATATTTGCGGCCTACGGTGCATTTCTTGCAGTCCTGATGCATGGAGGAAAGGCCTTCACAAGCCTCTGCTATTGTGTACATAGTTTATACTAAGTGACCCATAGGTTGAGGAGGCGATGACTGGGGCGGTGTAGGTGGAAGCGGCGGTGGAGGAGGAGGTAGCCAACACTGTTTATATATATATATATATTTTTTTTATTTTAATTGGGGTAGCCCCCAAAATATTGGGACATATAAAAAAAGACAACTCTGTTCCGCAGTGTAGCTGTTGACATTATAGTTGCGCAGGCACTTTGTTGACTCTAGAGAACCTCGGGCCAATCACACATCCCTGTGACAGCGACTTTGCATTCGGATGTCATCCATATCAACTTTGGATGACAGTTTCTGCGCCTACCATGGTGACCATGGGTAATGGGTAATCAGGGTTCTATTCCCTACAGGGACCCTGAGAAACAGCTACCACATGCAAAGAAGGCAGCAGGTGCACAAATGACCCACTCCCGACGCGGGAAGGTAGTGACGACAAATAACAATACAGGACTCTTTAGAGGCCCTGTAATTATAATGAGTCCACTTGAAATCCTTTAACTCTGATCAATTGGAGGGAAGTCTGGTGCAGAGCCACTGACCCGTGCGTGCTGCAGCTGAAACTCCACTACCGCGTGCTGCTGCTCAAACAGTCTCTCCAGCATGTCCAAGGTGGAGTTCCACCTTGTGGGCACGTCGCATATGAGGCAGTGAACGAGGAAGGGCAAACTTACGCTGCAGAGCAGACAGGCGAGCAGCAGCAGGGTGAGAACGCTGAAAGCGTGCACAGCTGCTACAGTGAATGTCACATCCTGTTCTAAGTTGCGGATCAGTCTGGTGATGGCTTCTGGTATCCAGTACACTTTTTACTGAAGCTCGATCAGGATCCTGGTATCATAGAATGTGACTGCAGATAAGAACCATTCGGCCCATCTAGTCTGCCCAATTTTCTAAATACTTTCATTAGTCCCTAGTCTTATCTTATAGTTAGGATAGCCTTATGCCTATCCCACGCATGCTTAAACTCCTTTACTGTGTTAACCTCTACCACTTCAGCTGGAAGGCTATTCCATGCATCCACTACCCTCTCAGTAAAGTAATACTTCCTGATATTATTTTTAAACCTTTGTCCCTCTAATTTAAGACTATGTCCTCTTGTTGTGGTAGTTTTTCTTCTTTTAAATATAGTCTCCTCCTTTACTGTGTTGATTCCTTTTATATATTTAAATGTTTCTATCATATCCCCCCTGTCTCGTCTTTCCTCCAAGCTATACATGTTAAGATCCTTTAACCTTTCCTGGTAAGTTTTATCCCGCAATCCATGAACCAGTTTAGTAGCTGTAACGGATCACCTGGCACCCCGACTGGGTACCTCCGTTGAAAGATGCTCCTAGCGCTTCCAGAGGACTCCAAGCACTCCACCAGACACCACAAGCACCGCAGGCTGCAGCTATCTCCCTTCAGAACGAAGCAGGAACAAGCTCTTACAAGAGCTCAGTGATTATAGCAAGGGAATATGCCTAGCATAGCAATCCCTTGTAGCAGATTCCCCCAATAAGAGACAGGACTCAAGTTGAGGGTAAAAATAGAACTCAGGTGCTGGCACACCCAGCCTGGTTTTTATTACAGTCTTGCAAATACAGGACCGCCCACAGGGAGGTATAAAACAACCAATCACATCACAGTTACATCCCACATATTCCCTCCCCTTATCCTGAGAGGAAACTCAATTACACATACAGTTAAAACATACTTTCTACCCAACTTTCATAACTCTAAAACCATACATCACATTCACATAAAATTACATATTCACAATCAATCCATTCAGGGGAACAACATATTCAAAAATGGCACAAATCAGACAAGGGGTTCAAAAGTTAGTAAAAAGTCCTTTGTGACTAAATGAAGCATGGCTTTCTGGCCCAAACCAGTTTCAGAGTCTTCTATCCTGGAGATAAGTAATTCAATTATCTCCCAGGACAGACACAAGACTCCATTAAGCACATGGTTGCAAAAAGACACAAAACACTTTAAAATACATAAAGTCACCTTTACACATAACACACAGACATTTCACATATCCCCAGATAGCTGGGATCTGAGTGCACATTATTAGATGAATGGCACTCAGATCACACAAATAAGCCTTTCTGCAGGGGAAATAAACGGTTTAACCTGCAGGGCCATAGTCCAAAGGGAGCAGGCGAGCAACCAGGCTTCTCCAGTTCACAGTGGCGAGGTCGGTTTCGCACAGTAGCCCTTCTCTGAACCCTCTCTAAGGTATCAATATCCTTCTGAAGATACGGTCTCCAGTACTGTGTACAATACTCCAAGTGAGGTCTCACCAGTGTTCTGTACAATGGCATGAGCACTTCCCTCTTTCTACTGCTAATACCTCTCCCTATACAACCAAGCATTCTGCTAGCATTTCCTGCTGCTCTATTACATTGTCTGCCTACCTTTAAGTCATCAGAAATAATCACCCCTAAATCCCTTTCCTCATATGTTGAGGTTAGACTCTATCAAATATTCTGTACTCTGCCCTTGGGTTTTTACGTCCAAGATGCATTATCTTGCACTTATCCACATTAAATATCAGTTGCCACAATTCTGACCATTTTTCTAGTTTACCTAAATCATTTGTCATTTGGCTTATCCCTCCTGGAACATCAACCCTGTTACATATCTTAGTATCATCAGCAAAAAGACATACCTTACCATCAAGACCTTCTGCAATATCACTAATAAAAATATTAAAGAGAATGGGTCCAAGTACAGATCCCTGAGGTACCCCACTGGTGACAAGTCCAAGCTTCGAATATATTCCATTAACTACAACCCTCTATTGCCTGTCACTCAGCCACTGCCTTACCCATTCAACAATATTTGAATCCAAACTTAAAGATTGCAGTTTATTGATAAGCCTTCTATGTGCAACAGTGTCAAAAGCCTTACTGAAATCTAGGTAAGCAATGTCTACTGCACCACCTGATCTATAATTTTAGTTACCCAATCAAAAAAATCAATAAGATTAGTTTGGCATGATCTCCCTGAAGTAAACCCATGTTGTCTCTGATCTTGAAATCCATGTGTTTTTAGATGTTCAACAATCCTATCCTTTAACATGGTTTCCATGACTTTCCCCACTACTGAAGTAAGGCTTACTGGCCTATAGTTGCCCGACTCCTCCCTATTACCTTTCTTGTAAATGGGCACAACATTCGCTAACTTCCAATCTTCTAGGACTACTCCTGTTAACAATGATTGGTTAAATAAATCTGTTAATGGTTTTGCTAGTACACCACTAAGCTCTTTTAATAGCTTTGGGTGTATTCCGTCAGGTCCCATTGACTTATTTGTCTTTACTTTTGACAGTTGAAATAGAACCTCTTCCTCTGTAAACTCACGTGTAATAAATGACTCATGTATCCTTTTTCTCAACTGAGGTCCCTTTCCTTCATTTGCATCTGTAAATACAGAACAACAATATTCATTGAGGCAGTCAGCTAGACCTTTATCCTCTTCTACATACCTTCCTTCTTTTGATTTTAATCTAACTAATCCTTGTTTTACTTTTCTTTTCTCATTTATGTATCTAAAAAATGTTTTATCCCCCTTTTTTACTGACTGTGCTATTTTCTCTTCTGTGTGTGATTTGGAAGCTCTTATAACTTACTTAGCCTCTTTCTGTCTAATCTTATAGATCATTTTGTCTTCCTCACTCTTGTTTTTTTTATAATTCCTAAATGCTAACTTTTTGTTTTTAACTATTTTTGCCACATCTGCGGAGTACCACAGTGGTTTCTTGAATTTTTTGCTTTTACTGACAAGCCTAATGCAATTTTCTGTTGCCTTCAATAGTGCGACTTTTAAATAATCCCATTTCTCTTGGACTCCATTTAAATTGCTCCAGTCTGATAATGACTCTTCTACCCATATTCTAATTTTAGAAAAGTCTGCTTTTCTAAAGTCTAAAACTTTTGTTTTTGTGTGGTGTGACTCAGTCACTGTTCTTATATTAAACCACACTGACTGATGATCACTGGATCTAAACTTTCACCTACAGTAATATCGGATATCAAATCTCCATTTGTTAACACTAAATCTAGTATGGCCTCTTTACGAGTTGGCTCCTCAATGACTTGTTTTAGAGACAATCCCAGTAGGGAGTTTAGAATATGTGTGCTCTTGGCACAAGCAGCTATTTTTGTTTTCCAATTCACATCAGGAAGATTAAAGTCACCCATGATGATAACTTCCCCCTTCATTGTCATTTTAGCTATTTCCTCAACTAGTAGATTATCTAACTCTTTAATTTGTCCTGGGGGCCTATAAATCACACCTACACGAGTTACTGTGTGATTACCAAATTCTAACATAGCCCAAACGGACTCTATGTTTGCCTCACTAACTTTTATTAGGCTAGATTTTATGCTATCCTTCACATACAAGTCCACCCCTCCCCCTTTCTTGCCTTCCCTATCTTTCCTATATAAAGAGTATCCTGGTATTGCTAGGTCACAGTCATTTTTCTCATTGTACCATGTCTCAGTAACAGCGACTAAATCTACACTATCAGTTGCCATTATTGGCACAAGTTCATGGATCTTATTCCCTAAACTGCAAGCATTTGTAGACATGACTCTAAGCTTATCATTTTTTAACACACTTGCTACAGGCACCTTCTGTCCTTGTTTTGGGGGACAATTGGATTGATGTTTTATCACTCTTTTGCCCCCCCCTCCTAGTTTAAATACATCCTAGCAAAACCTCTGAACTGCTCACTGAGAACATTTGTATGCAGTGGCTTTGCAGCAGTTCCAGTCTGAGTTTGTTCACCAGATAATTTACAAATCTCAGACTTCAAAAATACAATCTCCTGCCGCAAGATAGAGAACTGTCTACAGATTAGACAACAGCCAAACCTCCAAAAAGTGGAACGTGAAACAAATGCATAGCAATTGTTACACTGCACTAAGTCTGCCATTCCAATTAGTAGAATAATTTAAATCTAACAAATCTTAACTTTGTATTTATCCTCCTGAATACCTCAGATTACCTCCAGGTTATCTCCAGAATATATCCAACTAAACACTTAGAAACAGCACTTAGAAGTAGCACCAAGCTATATTAGACAAGCTAATGACAACAAGCCTTATATAACTCCTAAAATCACCACCCACTAGGAATGTTTAACACCTGGGTAATTGTTGGTGCTCAATATCTGTCAATCCTATCTAAGGCACTTTGTGGTCTGTAGCCCCATGGTCGGCCCGTATTCCAACCCGCCGCTTTCCAGGTACTACAGTGATGTCCCCAATGGTCACCTGTCACACAAATATATGGGTCCTTTTTGTTTGGTATGTCTTTGTATATTGCTGAGTGTTGTGATTGTGGAAAAGTATAAGAGACTAATCAAAGGTGAAAGTAGCTATGTGTGTGTTTGAAGAATTATACCAGAATGTGTAAACATGATTGTATTTGGTAATA